TAAGTAGCACTGACTGACTTCACATTGGAGTTGAAAATCCGGATCTTATTTTTGATGCTGAGTGTTGTTGACCTCCACACAGACTTGAGAGTAATGAAGGCTTGCCTTGCTTTCCCGATCCTTGCTTTGATATCCTCGTCAGTTCCGTTCGCCTGTAGTTGAAACGATGCTTCCCAGGTGGGTGAGTAGGTACAAGAGGTTGTTTCTTTTAGGTTCCTCCCATTTATGCTGGCTGATTGTTGTCTGTTGTTGTTGTTGTTCTTGTCCAGGAATCTTCATTACCTCTGCCTTCTCTATGTTCACCTGAAGTCCTATCTTTGATGCTTCTTCTGCCAACTTGTTGCTTTTCGCTTGCATATCTTCCAGTGTGTGGGAAATGAGACATATATCATCGGCGAAGTCCAGATCCCCCAAGTTTTTTGTGTGAGTACATTTTATGCCTGTTTCCTAATTGCCCGCTGTTTGTCGCATTATCCAATCTACTGCAATCAGGAAAATCATTGGCGATAGTAGGCAGCCTTGTCTTACTCCTGTCCTTACTTCGAAGGATTCCGTAAGTTTCCCGTTGTGGATTACTTGGCATGCAGCATCGTCGTACAGCTGTTGGATTGTCTTTCACTGAAATCAACATAGATGGATAGAGTGAGATGAAAAATCACATCTGAACAGTGGTTGTCTGAATGCCAAATCAGCTATGTATTCTTACAAAGTCACTAGAGAGTGAAGTTGTACTGTCTAATATAAAGGCTGTTTTTTGTTTGAATTCATGATATTTATAATAAAAGTAATTTAAAGAGGGGTATCATTTTTTAAATTTTTTCTTAAACAGAAATCTTTAAATATTCCAGATAAGGATAGAAAAAGAAGAACAAGGTGTAGAACAGGTGTTGAGTAGTTCATATATATCTTTTGTTAATAAGTGTAGTATTTCCAAGGTGTTTAATAAATAAACAAGCAGAAAAATAGTGAGGGAGCCGAAGAAATTATGCCAATGGTGTGGACATCAATAGGGAATAGAGATTTCAACACCTGTTCTCTAGGTGTACGAATTTGTTTATTTAACTTGTATTGTTTTTTAAAAAAAAATTTCAACCACACAGTTATTTGCTAATGGAATATTTGGAAAAAGTGTAAATTTCAGAGTTTCTTTTTCTTCTAAGCTTCTATCCTCCAGTAGAAAAAAATTATTGTTAATCCCCTTTTGGTTCCAAGTGAAATATATTTACAGGGGCTTCACACAGCTCATCTTGATTTTACCCTGTTCTCTTCAGTCGTTTTAAGCTGACTTACACTAGCTCCTCACATGACCTTATCCATGTTGCTCTCGGACTCCTGGCCAACTTGTCGTTTCTCATTCGAGTTCCATCCGACGGGGGGTGTGTGCCTTGAGTATGATTTATTCAATGGTTTCCTCAGCGTGTGTTCAATCTATCTCCACTTTCTTCTGCATATTTATTGGCCGATGGAGGTTAGCTGCCTACCAGAGTACTGAGAGAAGAATCCACCCACCCCTCTTCACACACACACGAGCATTTGACTTGTAGTCTGATCCACAGATCAATGGGACAACATATCAGGAGTTACATTCCCATGGTTTCCAGTAGCTATAACAAGTTTATACGCCATTCGATCCGTTCTTGAATTTGGACCGCATGTATACCATAGATTTGTAATCAGGGTTTTTTTAATTCCCCTAGGTGGTAGATCTGCATCTTCACCAGTCCGGTTGTAAGCGTCGAATGGTGTTATTCGTATTCGCCCCTTTACTTTTATGAGGAACACATCGGCGGCTCATGAAGGTAGTGATTAGGAATCATCTGGTAGAGCCTATAAAAGAGAGAGAGGGTGTTTCAAGGGGAAGATCGAAGTCTACCTACCCTCGCTCGTACAAGGTCGTTTATGGGGACTAACGGTTAAAATGATACTTTCTACATAGTGTATAAAATTTGGTGACGGACCTGTTGTTATACTCTTTTGTCCCCATTCTACTATAAGTTTTCTTCAAGTGTTGGTTTGCCGGGATTCGTTTAGCTACAAGACTTCATCATAAGTTAACCTTGGTTTGAGAACCATTGGACAACCAGCAGGGAGTATTGGACAGCTGTTTCATCAGCCTAGTTTGAGACTGTTCATCAGTATGCACCCAGCTGGGCTGGAACCCAGGATGTTTCGGTTACAAGGCAAGTTGATAGACCACTAAGCCCCTCTAGGAACCGAACCCAATGACCAGCGCATAAATTCCAGCTTCTGGGAATTCATTCACGAGACAGCGCAGCTGGCACTAGCCAATGTCATCCGTATCGAGTATTTGTCTTCCCATCCGACCTACTGTTTTTTTATTATTCAAATGTGCTTTTTTCGATTCCTTCAGGCTAGAGGCTTGAAGTTTCTGTAGCAGTGTTTATTTTTAAACGATGGGGGGTTGCTAGCCTCATGCCCAACTTTTCCTCTTTACCAGAGTTTTTACTATTGGCTTAACGAGGTAAAGGAGTGCGTCTAGTGGCCGGCGATCGAAGATCGAACCATGTACAAGTGTGCTAAACAAGCTTAATTATTTGACATTCAGCATATTGTGGGGGGGGGGAGGGGTAGAACTAAGATCGTATCTCCTCATATGCTTGCTGAGACGATTGTAATCGGGGGTGCACATAGGGAGTAACTGTGTGGCACTCCTGTTCTTATTTCAGTTCTCTTCTCTCCTCTATTTGCATTATCTTTGAATTCTATACTATATATTATTCATTGAGTACTATTCATACACTAATCATTTTAGTAATTAAATGATTTTATTTATAAAAGAAGAAGAAGCAGAACAAGAGAAAGTAACCGTTACTATTTATTCTTCTCATTTAGTTAGTTGCGAGGCTGGGGGCGGAGGGAGGGAGGCAGTCACATGCTACCTTTCCTTGATATATGTTATGCCCTTGGTGTGTGTAGTGTGCTGTGCTGTACTGTACTCTGGTGCTCTGTGGTGTGGTGTAGTGTAGGTAGAGTTGTTGCATTCCTTAGTGATTACACTATTAGGTCAGTCGTCACGTGACGTTACTCCTTTGATGATGATGATATGAAGGCAGAGTGGCATTCATCTTTTCAATTTTAAAAATATATTATATGTATAGTATTTATGTTACCTAGATACTGTTCAATTTAAGACCTTATTTTCGGACAATTAGTAATTAAAACGCATTTTTGTGTGTGTGTTTCTTTGTATGTTTGAGAACTGGCTTTTTTGATATATATATATGTGTGTGTGGTGATCTGGTTTGTGATTGGTTATTTTTTTGTAATCGATTAGTAGTAGCAAATCAGTTAGTTATGCAGTTCAGATATTATATTGCATGCATGTACACCAGGCTAATAATACAAATAGACTTATTATCGCTTAAGGAGCGCGGGTCTCGAACCTCAAACCTAGTGTTCACTTCACGTCGTCAAGTGTTTAAGTCCAATGAACCTCAAATTTGCAATCATTAGTAACTGTGCGTCGGTGGAACAACGGTTAAGACTCTCGCCGACCATGCACATGGTCCGGGGTTCGATTCCCTGCCGACGCACACCTGATATCTATGGTCGGCCTGCGAAATTTGGGCTACTGATATCACATGCCGAAAATTCCATGCTTGTACCAAAAGTACGGTGTGAATTCAAGCTATAGTGAAAAATACCCTTGTGGGGGGGGAGAAGTGAAGAAGGATATTGGTGTTCGTGTGTTCCCTGGCAGCTGAATTTAATTTTGTTGCAAAGTTTCCATTATCTTTCTAGGCAAAACATCTTCAGAGCAGATTTGGTTTGGAAGTAGACTTTTTGAGTTCTCCAGCTTAAACCATTCCGGTGATCCTCTTATATTCACTTGTAAATTGGTATTGAGAATTTTGTCTAACGGAAGGTTGTCATTTTGTTATTGATTAGTGAATCTTTTCTGTCTCAATATGTCGCCTGAAAAGTACCAGATATCAGGCTGATAAATTCGTGGAGAATTAATTTCAAAAGCCCACTTGATATTGAATTTTTTAGTCTGAATGTGTTGTTCAGTAAGATCACCAAATCAACGCTGGACTCAGATAGACCACATAGCCATAGGGTATCGTTGGCGTTGGCGAGGGTCAGTAGAAGACTGTCGCTCCTTCTGGAACACGTGGGTAGACTCACGCTCTGGTTCGCGCACATTTATGCTTACGACTAAATGGACATAAGAAATTGACGGCAGCGAAACAGTTACGTCCCCTACTAGATCGTGACACGGAGTCCTTATTTAAGGAAGAAATAGCGAAACTAGTTTCTGAGATCGACAGCAGGACTTCCCCTGAGGTAGCCTGGCACAACATACAGTTAGCTGTGGACACAGCCGTGAAAGCTGTCAATAAGCTAAAACCTAAAGTTAATAAAAGTCATTGGATCTCTACCGCCTCATCCGAACTGATTGACGCAAGAAGACTGATTCCAGCAAGCTCCGATTATGATGAGGAGCGAAAGGTACTTAAACAAAGACTAACAAAAAGTCTTCGCAAGGACCGTGAACAGTGGTGGGCGACAAAAGCGAAAGAGATGGGATAGACATCGGTGATTGGCAACACCATAACACATGTCCTAACCATCTCAGTCGATGTAGTAGCTTCACAGCCTCATCGATTGATTTCCCCTCCTCCTCCTTACCTCCTAACTCACACTATGTATTATAATGAGGAATTCTGCTCCAACTCTCCAACTGTTCCACCCGAACTAATTGAAGTGAGTTAACATCTGAATTACAGACATATTAAACAAAAAGCTTATTCCTTAAACTGTACTAATCTCAATTCTTCCAGCAAGCATTCAGCTGTCACCAGCTCCCTGAAAAATCGCCAGTAAATAGCGTTGAGATTCTTGTGGAGGATGTTCCAACACAACCAGCACACCAGTCACTTCCGATCTGTTTGTAGTTTTTGCAGTATTTATATTATCCTATTGCATTATCCACGCAGCTGATCTCATCGTATAAATTGATCCCTTTTTTGATCTAGATTCCTGATTGAAAATGGTGCAGATCTCTCTGTGCTAAGCGTCGATCTTGAATTGCCTATCGATGTAGCACAAGATGATGAAATGATCAAACTGCTCACAGATGCAATGAAAAAACAAGGCATCGATGCTGATGCTATTAAACAGTCTGAAGAACAAATGCTGTTACATGATGCTCAGCATTGGCTTAATAGTGGGAATTATAAGTAAGCTTTATTTGTTTTGTTTTGTTTTGTTTAAGAGAGTGTTACTGTTCTACTGAATTTTGATTGGGCTGAAATATATTCTGCCTGTGTTGACCTGTGTTTTACTCCTTTGGGTTCCAAGTGGTGGGACCATATAGGGCTTCAACAACACATCACGACTCCACTTTTTTCTATTTGGTACTGTCCTCTACAGCTGGCTACCTCCATGATTGCCCATGATCTCTCATCTTCTCCTTTCCACATGATCTCCCCCATGTCACCCTTGCACTGACCATCCACTCGTCGCTTCTCATCAGGATTCCACTCGAGCGATGGCCTGAATTGCGCGCGATGTCATTCGACGGTCTCCACAACGCATGCCCGACCTATCCATCTTCATTTTTCTTACATATTTGTTGAGCAATCGAGTCTCACTTGTTGGTTTGTTGCCAACCAGAGTTTCTTGTTGCTAATTCTTTCTGGTTGGCTATTTGATCTTCAGTATGGAGCCAGAGAAGTGGACAGCTGTTGATAAAAGTCTTCGATAGCCTGTTGTGGGAATGCTTTTCGTGACGCGCTAGCCAAGTTTTTGACATAAATAAAGGAACACACACTTAACATTTCTGTTGAAAATCTGAATCTTGTTCTTTATGCTGAGTGAAGATGATTTTTAAACTTAATTCAGATTGATGAAGGCGTATCTTGCCTTTCCGATTCTGGCTGATTTTGATATCTGCATCCGTTCCGACTGCCTGTTCTTGAGACCGTGCTTCCCAGCTGGTTATGTGAAGAGGAGATAACCTCTGTCAAATCTCTCCTGCTGATGGTGATTGGTTCTGGTTGTTGTTGATAATGTTGGTTGGTTATCTTCATCACCTCCGTCTTCTCTATGTTCACCAGGAGTCAGTCCTGTCTTCTCTACCGGTCTTTTCATCCAGTTTGTTGGTTTTCGCTTGCCTACAAGTCTTCCAGTTTGTGTGATATTAGACATATATCTTTTGCGAAATCCAGATCTTCTAGAGTCTTCTTATCTGTGGTCCAGCGTATTCCTGTCTCTTCGCTCCCCACGCACTGTTTGACGCGTAATCCGGTCCACCACAGTTAAAGAATATTATAGGTGATAGTAGACAACCAGCCTTGTCTTACTCATATATTCACTTCAATAGAATGCTTCGCTGAGTGAGTTTTTCGTTGTGGATCACCTGGCACGTGGCCCTGTCCCTGTATTTCACTGATAATTATCCATCCACCTTAAGCTACAAAGCTTCTCCCTTATTTCAAAATGATGTATTTGGTTTTACTAATACGGAGAATAACAAGTACAGTTGTTATTTCATTATAAATTATTTAAATTAATCCCAGCGTGTTAAGAAAATCAAAACAAATTATTCCAGGAAGTTCGTAACACTTACGGCCTGGAAACCTATAACAGTTGTTATTTGTTTGTTTGTGTGTACGTGTGCGTGTGTGCGTGTGCGTGCGTGCGTGTCAAAATTTCGACAGTGATTCCAAAATATTGAAGGGCAATCATATTTATCAATTTAAATGATTATAAATCGTAAATTGTGAATAAATCAATCGATACGGAGAGAGAGGTCAACATGTGAAGTTCATTAGACATATACGTAAATATGATATTTGTTTTTCAAAATTCGGAAGTGTTAACTTTGATTATACTACTATAACTACTACTACTACTACTGTGACGACAGAAGACAAGACACAGACAACAAATCATTTCTATTGAGAAAATCAAGAGATTATTATTATTGTTTCCTTTAATTCCTAGAGGAACATAGTGCTTCAGCCGTGCGTCTCCATTGCGTTCGGTTCTCTGCTAGAGTCTTCACCTGGCTCCATGTCTGCCCACCCGTTTTCATCTCCTCTTCACATGACCTTCTCCAAGTCACCCGCGCACTGACGACCAACTCGCCGCTTCCCTTCCGGCCGGGTTCCACTCGAGCAATGGCTTGTCTAGTGGTGTCACTCACTTGATGGTTTCCTCAGAGTATGGCCAGCCAATCCATCTCCATTTCTTCCTGCTTCTTTGTTTCACAATCGGTTCCTGGTTGATTCACTCCCAGAGATCTCTGTTGCTGATCTTTACTGGTCGGCCAACTGATCTTGAGTATTGAGCGAAGACAACTGTTAATGAGGATCTGTAGTTTGTTTGAGATGCTCTTCATGACGCGCAGTGCAAGTCTCTGATCCGTGTAGCAAGTAGCACTGACTGACTTCACATTGGAGTTGAAAATCCGGATCTTATTTTTGATGCTGAGTAGTTCTGTTGACCTCCACACAGACTTGAGAGTAATGAAAGCTTGTCTTGCTTTTTCGATTGTTGCAAGAGATATTTATAGATTTTTATGTACATTCTTACCAGCGGAAAAGCAAAGTCTTCTGATTGGTTGTTTTCTTGCTGAAGGTTATTTTGTACTGCTTGTGACCGTTTCTCAGAAAGTTAAGCCATATATCTGCAGATCCTATTTGCATACCTTAAGTCTGCTGTAATTGGTTGTTGAGTTCCTCAAGGTTAAACTTTGGTATTGGTTTTATCATGACCCTGATTTGGGACGTGAACATTGAGTTTAATTGTTGTCTATAATTTTGGCTTGTTCGCAGCCAAGCCTGTGGTTGAAACCGTGCTTCCTAGCTGAATATGTGAAGAGGAGGTGACCTCTGTCAAATCTCTCCTGCTGATGGTGATTGGTTTTGGTTGTTGTTGTTGGTGGTGGTGTTGGTTGGTTATCTTCATCCCCTCCGTCTTCTCTGTGTTCACCAGGAGTCAGTCCTGTCTTGTCTACCGGCCTTTTCAGCCAGTTTGTGTGATATTAGACATATATCTTCTACGAAATTCCTGATCTTCTAAAGTCATTGTGTATTGCTTTGTGATAGTTTCTCAGAAAGTCAAGCCATATATCTGCGAATCATATTTGCACACGTTAAGTCTGCTGTGATTGGCTGGTGATTTTCTCAAGCTTGAGCTTTGTCATTGTTTTAATTCTCATGACCCCGATTCGGGACGTGAACATTGACGTAAATTGTTGTCTATAATTTTGGCTTGCTCGCAGCCAGCTCTCATCACAATACTACTACTACTACGGATGCATATCAGGCCAAAAATATAATTAAATGGGAAAAACAGTATAAAAATAAACTAATGTCATTGAAAAATATAAGATTTTAAAAAGTTATTAGAATATGATTTGATGTGATGTCAAATGAAACATAAAAATATGACGAAATGATGAAGTCATATGGCATAAACTGGAATGAAAGAAAAAGGTTTTTGGTATATATATATATATATATATATATATATATAATTCACATAGGCCAAGGGAGAAACAAAGGTAGAACAAACTTCTTTTGTATGTAAAAACTAGGATTGTTCTCTCGAATTCCCATAGCTTCGGCTAAGTGTAAAAGACGGGTTCGAATTCCCTATGAAAGGCTCGATGGAATGCGATAGATAACTTTGAAGGCACTATTTTTGTCCACCTAGTGGTCGCTATGGCCAATCAAATGAGCCAAATTAGAACTTCTTATAGATTTTTTATTTGACCTTTTCCAAGATGCTCATTAATGCGTTTGTTAAGCTGTCTAGTTGTTCTCCCTATATAGCTCTCTCTCCACATGACCAACTAAATTTATAGATATACATTGAAATGGCACAGCTAGATAGCTTGTCTTTCACTTGAGCAATCAAAATTGGTCGACTGGAAAGTGACAAACAAAGGGTGACGGCAGTGTAAGTCCGTCTTATCGCTCTCGATAATCTCAGATGTAAGACTTCGCTAACCACGTCCCTATTAAATTACAGTTTCATGAACAGTTGTTTCTTTTCAACTGTTGTCAGTTTTCCTTTATTGTACCTGGTATTCATGTGCCTGTCTCCTTACAAATCTATTAGGATAACCCATTTGGACCAACGTATTGTCTCATTTGATTGATAGCGGTCACCAAGTGGACGAAAATAGTGACTTCAAAGTTATCTATCGCATTCCATTGAGCCTTTCGAACGCAATTCGAATCCGTCTTTTACACCTAGCCAAAGCTACGGGAATTCGAGAGAACAACCCTAGTCCTTATATATATATCATTTGATCAAATTAACTCCATGGAGAGAGAGATCATTCATTGTTATAAATAAGCGCGTTTTGTGTATTTCCTAATGAATGAAAAAAACGATGCCATCGTTGTTTTTACTGACGTTTCGCTATTTAATTCTGCTGCTAATGCTAAAATAGCTTTATTAAAATATTCAGTTTAGATTCTCCCATCGACTACTGACTGGATCCGAATGCTTCGACGATGTATGGTCATGTAACTTGAAGTCCATCGGTTGATGGTGGCTATCAGTGGAATCCAGGATAACACGCATTTCGTCCTATTTGGGACTTGTCGACTGGATGCACCTGCATTCCCCAGCGATCCATTGATGGTGTTCCCACTGGGTCTCAAACCCAGTGTCCATAGTTTCAAATGCTGACTACTGGGGAATGCAGGTACATCCTGATGACGAGTCCCAAATAGGACGAAATGAGCGTTATCCTGGACTCCACTGCTAGTCATCATCAACCGACGGACTTCATATTATCAACGTATTAATCAACCCGAATTTACAAAATCCACTCAGCTGATATATAACAACTTAATCACCTTTCCGCAGCATGGGGTAATTTTTATGTTGTCAAGTTAGCCAATTGGTAAAGATAACGGAACCAAATGTAGATTGTTGGATTTGAGAAGTGTATAAAACTATAAAAGCAGCGTGTGTTTACATGTTGAAATTGCTTATCACATTAGTGTTGTCATTTTGTCATTTCACTTGGTGGTCACCAAGTGGACAAAAGAAGTGCTTTCAAAGTTATCTATCTCATTCCATGGAACCTTTCGAACGGAATTCAAACTCCTCCCCTTTTACCCACAGCCGAAGCTATGGGAATTCGAGAGGACAGTCCTAGTCTTTGCATACGACAAAAGATGTTTATTCTACCTTTGTCTCTCCCTTGCCTAGCCTAGGTGAATTATATTCAAAACTCTTTCTTAAATTCCATCTCCTTCGTACTTTTATGACATTTATTTAAAGTCTGATTATCTATCCACTTCACCTTTGGTATTACGTAACTTTTAAAGTTTGACCTAATTTATTTATTCCTTGAATTGCCTACATATACACATATCACTCACTACCTTTGTTATTCTTATCGCCAACTGCATAAACCTTATTATCAGTATTATGTTATCATTGTAACCATCGTTATTAACGACGTTCAAAACATTTACCACATTATTATTTGATCCACAAAATCACTAGTTAAAATTTTTATATATAAATATATGTAAATTAGAGTAAAGCCTGAAGAAGATCTAATTGAAAGCAACAATACTGTTCGCTTATATGTCTTGTTCTATTATCCTTTATGTCTAGTCATCTAATCTTCACTAAGAAGATAAGGGGGCAGCTGTTGATAAAAATCTTCAGGGACCTGTTGGAAATGCTTTTAGTGTCGTGAGCTGCATTTCTATGAATCATAGTGAAGCACTTTGACTGACTGGGCATTAGTGTTGAAAATTTTGAATCTTCTGTTCTTATGCTGTGAGTATAGTCGATTTTCACACTGTGTGTTATCGATTTAATGAAAGGCTGTCTGTCTTGCCTTTTATATCCTCATTTGTGCCGCGCCTATAACTGAAACTGAAATTAAGTGTGACAGGTGGTTTTTGCGTAGAGGTATCTTCACTACCTTCTTCTCTATGTTCACTTAAAGCCCTGTATTCGCTGCTCCTGCTAGTTTGGATGGTTTTCACCTGTAGATCGAGTCCTTTCGCGGGTTGTCTTTTCTCTCCCCACGGAATGGTGTATGATCCAGTCCGCTTCACAACCAGGAATATCATAAGTAGAAGTAGGCAGCCTTGTCGTACCTTGTTGAACTTTCCGTTGTACATCGCCTGGCAGGTAGCATCAGTATACAGCCGTTTACTTAGGTTGGCAAAGGCTTGGGGCACTCTGTCGTATTGGAGCACTTTCCAAGTTACTTTGTGGTGAACGCTATTTGAAAGCCTTCTCTAAATCGATGAAGTTGAGCTAGGGATTTGACTATTTCATTCTACAGCGCATATCTTTAACCGTACACATTTGCTTTATTTATTTATAATTTATTGTTCCCTTCGGTTCCTAGTGGAACATAGGGCTTCAACTACACGTCTCCACTTGCTTCTCACTTCTGCTGTACTTTTCACCTGCATCCATGTTACTCCATACTGTTTCGACTCCTTCTTCACACGACCTCCTCCATGTCACCCTTGGACGTCCCACTCGGCGCTTCCCTTTCGGGTTCCACTCGAGCTATGGCCTGACGCGCAATGTCATCCAGTGGCCTTCTCAGCGAGTGTCCAATCCATCTCCACTTTCTCCTGCATATTTGTTGAGCGATTGGTTCTTCTTTCGTTTGTTCCCATAGTTTCTTGTTGTTGATTCTTTCCGGCCATCTGATCTTCAGTAGTATAGAACGAAGACAGCTGTTGATAAAGGTCTGCAACAGGCTGTTGGAAATATTCTTTGTGACCCGTCAAGTTTCTGATCCGTATAGAAGAACTGACTGACTTGACGTTTGTATTGAAAATCCGAATTTTGTTGTTGATGCAGGCTGAGTGACGAAGATTTCCAGATTGGTTTCAAGTTGATGAATGTGTTTCTCGCCTTCCCGATTCTCGATTTGACATCCTCGTCCGTTCCTCCTGTAGTTGAGAGGGCTGTATCATCGATGAAGTTGAGTTAGGAGTTTGATCATTTCATTCTACAACGCATATCTTTAAGCATACACATTTACTTACTAAATTCTATTTTAATAAATGCGATATTTTATCTTTATTGTTTTGTTTTGTCATTTCTCACTCAGACCGGTTGTTGATCCAAGAACTGGTGCTACTCCACTGCATGTAGCAGCCTGTAAAGATTATACAAAAGCTATGGAAATTCTCTTAAAAATTCCCGGTATAGATATAAATGCAAAAGATTTTGATGGATGGACTGCACTGCATGCAGCTGCTCACTGGAATCGTGAAACGTCAGCTCGTATGTTAGCCAACGCTGGTGCTAGTTTCGATGAACAAACACGTGCTGTAAGTTTGATATAATATGTGTACTTTTCAAGTTTTTGGTTTTGCAGGGATTTAATGTGATTTGATTTGATTTGATTGGTTACAGGATTTTATCATGAGGTGATATTGGTGTGAGAACTGTTGGTAAAACAGGTAGGGATTACTGGACAGCTATCTCCTCCGTCCTGGACCCACACAAAAAACTTGGAGGATCTGAACTTCGCTGATGATATATGTCTGATTTCTCAAAAACTGGAAGATATGCAAGTGAAAAGCAACAAGATGGCAGAAGAAGCATCAAAGATAGGACTTCCTTCAGGTGAACATAGAGAAGGTGGAGACAAAGGTGATGAAGATTCCTGGCCATTAGCAACAACAGCAACAAAAGACAACAATCAGTCAGCATAAATGGGAAAAATCTGAAAGAAACAACCCCCTTCACCAACCTACCCACCTTCATGGGAAGCATCGTTTCAACTATAGGCGGACGGAACTGATGAGGATATCAAAGTAGCGAGGATCGGGAAAGCAAGAAAAGCTTTCATTTCTCTCAAGTCAGCATGAAAAATGAGGTCCGGATTTTCAACTCCAATGTGAAGTCAGTGCTACTTACTATACGGATCAGAGACTTGGCGCCGCGCCGCGTCACGAAGGGCACTTCGAACAAACTACACACCTTCATCAACAGCTAGCTGTCTTCACTCAATACTACTCAACATCAGATGGCCGGTCAGACAAGACCAACATCACTCAAGGATCTTTGGCAGTGGACGAACCACCTCAGCAGGAATCGATTGTGCAACAAATATGCAGGAAGAAATTGAGGTGGGTCGACTGACCATACTCTGAGCAAACCATCAAGTGACATTACAAGATAGACCCGAATGGGAGGCGGCGAGTTGGTCGTCAATGAGGGGGTGACATGGAGGAGGTGATGCGAAGGGGAGATGAAAGGAAGTGGGCAGACGTGGAGCCATGTGAAAACGTTGACGGAGAACTGAACGCAATGGAGACATGTGGCTGAAGCCGTATGTTCCTCTAGGAACTAAATGAAACAATAATTATAATATCTCCCCCGTCCTAGTTCAGGACTCTTCAGCAGTACCTACCCACTGCCAGGGTTCTGGTTACAAGGCGAGCTCGTGGGCCATTCAGCCACTAGGACCCGATCCAGTGGCTAGCCCATCAATTCCAACTTCTGTCAATTCACACATGATATAGCTTAACTGGCACTAGCCAATGTCATCAGTGGCGAATGTTTGTCCTCACACCCGACCGAGTGGACCTCTAGTGGTCACGGTTTCCCACTAGAATCCAGTTAACCCAAACTGGGATGAAACAGCTGTCCATCACTCCCTCTACCTGATTTTCCAGTAGTTCTGAAGCCGATGTCAGCTCGTAATGAAGTCCTGTAACCAAATTTATTTTTATCAATACTATTATTTTTTTGTGGTAAATTTTATATCTTTGGCTTTTTATTTAAGGTGGGTAAATTTCAACCTTTCAAACTGTTTTTCTATGTGTTCAGTTCGTGTATGTGTGTGTGTGCGTGCACGTTTTTCATCTTTTAACCATGTCTGTCTTATTCGCCTTCATTTTTTAGGTGTCCGTCTTGTTTTTATTGTCTCGTAGGCGTTGGTTGTGAAGGTGTGGGGGGAAGTGTAACAACCACCTACGCACTTTCTATTAAGTAATTGCAGTGTGTCTGTCCGACTTGGTTGATTGTGTGTATTTTTGCGTGTACCCGCCTGTCGGTCTGTCTATCTATCTATCTATTTGTCTGTATAGAAGATTTCGTTTAATCGCACTATTAATGACTTTCTGTATGTATTGTATGGTATTGTTCGGATCGATACACAGTTGTGCGCCTTTTTGTGAAAGATATTCAGACACAAAGTGTCCAGGGTTTTAGTTAGTATTCTTACTGAATGAATTAGTGAATAAATAAGCGATCAAAAAGCAATGATAAAGTTTGTGCTTTTGTGTTTATTTATCTGGATAATTAGATCGATAAAATAACACAATGGACAGTAAATTTAGACATTGTCAGTATTCTCTATTCACGTCAGTTATTATTATCTACTGAGAAAGTAGTGACCTGTAATCATGACGTTTTTTGTGGTTGAGATATTGCCAACACATATTTGTCGTATTATAAATCGATATCAGTTAGAAAATAATTAAAAAGTGAGAGAAGGCACTGTTCTTGATCGGAAATTATTTTCCCACAAACGACATAGTGCTTACTCCAGAGTGTGTAGATAGGTAGGTAGGTGTCTATGCGTGTAGAGACTCGACCACACCACCACATTAGTCCTATTCTCTGTTTTCACGCAGCTGTGTAAGTGTTCTTCGCAAAATGGGTAGGGTGAATGCAAATGTTGTCTGGCGCTTACAATCAGATAAGTGGACATCCAGGTTGGTGTCTACCTAAGGGAACTAGTTCCAAACCTATGTTGCACTTGGTCCTTAGAATCCGAAAGGATCGAATTGTCTATGTGAATGTGTTTTGATCACCAGGATCCATGGGAATGTAGCTTCTGACTCTACTCTACGGCGTTGTAGATTGATCTGTCTGTCTGTCTGTCTGGATTCAGCATAGTACTTGGCACCAAAGTGGAGCAGTTTCAGTTGCCACATTCCAAAGAGCACACAAAAGTAGACAAGAAAATGACTGAAGAGAATCAATAGAGTCTTGACAAGTATAAGAGTGAAACAGAATGAGTAATGGTAGAAAGGAATATGAAAGATTACAGAGACTGAATACATCTGCGTAAGCCATTGACAACGATGAGTTTGAGCCATGTCACCTATTGTATCCAGCCGTTGATTGATTCTTAGAGTCCCGAGGGCGGGGCCCAACCTGGAAGTCTGCATCTCCCTCCCTACCTGACTCAGTTTAACTGTCAAGGATTTCATGGATTGATGAGGTCATGTTTTTGTTTGGCATGGCACCACTTACTCTTTTCCAACCTGCACCTATATCAGCTAGCTAGTAATGCCCGTCGGATGATTCACGTGATTTCTCGAACTGTACTTAAGGCAGGACTCACGACTGGATTCATTGTAGAATGTAGAATGCTCATCCTAATTAATACCTTTTCTCTTCTCACGATATTCTCCATGTCACTCTAGGACGACTAACTCGTCGTTTCCCATTCGGGTTTCACTGGAGCAGCAGTGGCCTAGAGCGCGATGTTATTCGACGGTCTCCTCAGCATGTGCCCAATGCATCTTCACTTTCTGCTACGTGTTTTTTCAGCGATAAGTTCTTGGTTAGCTTGTTCCCACAGTTTCTTGTTGCTAATTCTTTCTGGCTGGTTATTTGATCTTCATTGAGGAGCCAGAGAAGTGGACAGCTGTTGATAAAAGTCGTCGATAACCTGTTGGAAATACTTTCCGTGACGCGCTAACCAACTTTCTGACCCATATAGAAGCAGTGACTTACTTTGCATTTTTGTGTTGTAAATTTGAATCCTGTTGTTTATGCAGGCTCTGAGTGAGTGCAGAGGTTTTGTGAACCGATTTGAAATTGACGAAGGTTTATCTTGCCGCTTTGCTTTGACATCATCATATGTTCCGACTGCCGACTGGTTGAAACAATGCTTACTGCCTAGATAAGTGAAGGAAGCATATAACACCTTTCAAGTTTCCCCCGTTGATGGTGATTGGTTGTTGTTCTTGTTGTTGCGTGATTATCTTCATCACCTGCGTCTTCTCTATGTTCACCTGGAGGCCTATCTTAGCTGTCAGTCTTTTCGGCCAGTTTGTTGGTTTTCGTCTGCAAGTCTTCGAGCAATATATCTATTTAGAAAACAGAAAGATTGAGCGAAGAAATATTTACTTTTCAATTACATCCTCATCTCTGGCTCTACTCTAACATATATATATATATGTTTGTTAACAATAATTAAACAGTGTCAAAATGTCAATGGGTAGATAATTAACGCAGAAAATCAATACACACAATTAAAAGGTAGAAATGGTTAGAATAAATTAATTTTACAAGGATAACACGTAATTAAAGATGAAGTGGTCAGAAAAAATAAAAATAAAATAATTTGGACAATTATAATTTTTATAGGTTTAGGGGGAGGGGGGCGACGTAGTCCTGTTTATGCATTCGTGTAGAGATGGCCACGGTAAGGAAAGTGGATGTACAAATTTCTTCTGAACACATAGGCTTGGCTTCTTCAGGTGGATTCCGATTGCTTCAGCTGTCTGTAAAAGACGAACTCGTAGAGCAAAATTAAGATTAGTAGGAATGCGATAAATAATTTTAAATGCAGTATTAACATCAACTTTGTGCTCAGTATGAACAAGGTGTGCTAAAGTAGAACTACGAATAGATCTTGTTTGTCCCTTGCTTAACCACTATGCTGGATGATGTTCGAAAATACGATGATGAACCTGCCTAATTGATATTACCTAATATTGATATATATATATATATCAATATTGGTTAGCGAAACCTAGTCAAAGCTAAACTGAATGAATTTGTAAATTTTAATTAAGACTCATCGTACGTTAGTGACTCCGTGTTAGTAGTAGTAGTAGAATGCTCGTCAACCATGCCTTACGTGTGGTGTGGGATTCGATTCCCGGCCGCCTACAGACACAAAGTCCCAAACCTCACTTAATCGGTAGTAAGTAGAGGAAAAGAGGGGAGGGCTCCATCCCTCTGCTACTGAAACTTCGAATCTCAAGATTGGAGCTTCCCCCCCCCCCCCCACTGGGGAATAGAAAAAATTACTCTACAATACTACTGGACTCCATGTAGTGTGAAATATATTTATGGAAAAATGGATACAAGGAAAGCGCATATTACGCAACAAATGGATATTAAAAAATGGAATGAAGTCACTGCATGGGAGAAAAAAATCTGATGTGAGATATATGATATTTGTAAAAAACAATGTGGATACATTGAATCGTTTTACGTCACTATATATAAAAAAAGAATTTCATAAATTTCAACATGAGAGAACATTGTTCGGTGAATTTAAATCAATCGTCACCAT